TAGGATTTTTTGAAGATTAACACTAATAAATATGCGACTTGTGAACTTTTCTTTATGTTGAGGGTGGGAATTGGATGACATCTTGATAGTGTACAAGTACCTTGTTCTGAAGCCAATTATTTCAGGCTTAGGATTTTGGAAGCCAGGTACAACTAGCACAACCTGTTACTTTCCTCAAGTCTATTGTCTATACAAACAAAAAGGCAGACAAACACTCAGAACCAAACACACAAGATGGCCTCATCATTATTCCAAGCAATTCATATCAGACTTGGATTTGACATGAAATTGGTTTGAACTTGCTGGCTAATCACATGATTCACTTTGAATACTATTTGGTTCGAAATATGAACTTTCTTTTTTCATTTTGGGTTCTAATTGTTTTTCCAATTCATTGCCTTATATTTAGTCCTACCGTTGGCATCACATCTTTTTTGAGCTTGCTTACCTATTTATGAGGCAGATATTTATTTTGTGATTATTATGGCATGTCTTAGTTTTATTTCGCATCACAAACTGTTAATTTAGTACTTTGTAAGATGGGTTCCTATATTGTAGATGATGACTTATGTGATAGTGGTGGGATATAATTAATTTATGGTTTATAGTTGAATTGCATATCTATTAAATAATTAATCAAGATTTGCATGAAATTGCTTGCTAAGAGTTCGTGGTTTGAACTAATAGTTTATACTTATTTAAAGAGGTTTCCTGAACATTCTACGTTTCCATCAGTTTACCTTTGATTCTCTCACTTTTTGCAGGTGCTTTTGACAACATGTATGGCAATGGCTCCATTTACGCCTTTTTTCACTGAAACTCTTTTCCGAAACTTGCGGAAGGCTTCCAATGGATTAGAGGAAAGTATTCATTACTGTAGTTTCCCTTCTGCTAGTGGACAGGTGCCTCCTCTATTCACAGAAAGCCTTTAATTACCACTCATCAATTTGCATTTGTTTTTTTGGTAATAATTAAAATATTCTGATAAACATCCAGAGAGATGAGCGCATTGAGCAAAGTGTTACAAGGATGATGATCATCATTGATCTTGCCCGAAACATCCGTGAGAGGAACAACAAACCTCTTAAAACTCCATTAAGGCATGATTGCAAATTTCTTATTCTTTGGCTTATTTTAAATTATTTCTTTAATATTCATTATCTCCAGAGAGATGATTGTTGTTCATCCCGATGCTGGATTTCTTGAAGACATCACTGTCAAACTTAAAGAGGTTTGCTAAAAATGTCGTTCTGATTTTTTTAAATCTTTTTCTATAAGTTAAGTTGATATATCTTTTTTCTTTCTGTGCAATATTTTGTGGTCTTTTCTTGTTTATCGTCTCAAATTTTCCATAGGACAGTCTTTACGGTTTCAAAGGTTGAGTTTAAATATAAATATGCCCTGTTATATTTCTTTTTAATGCCTGTCTTTGATATGATCTCATCTAAACCATTCCTATCATCTCCATTGCCCCGACATTGATGTTTGTGCTGATTTTGCAATATATAACTGAATGCTTGTTATGTTATTTATCAATATT